GGAACTACCAAAATGTAAACTTCAAAGACAGTTGTACTTCTTTCAGGACAGATGTGTGAGAGTTTTATAGGCAATCAAACATTTTGTATCTTCCTACTTACACTCCCTTTTGTTTTTCAAAAATTCCTTCAGTGCTTTTACCATTAAGTGAAAATTTTAAATGTAATAATTTGAGTGTGCATGTATGAGCGTGTGTGTGTGTAGTGACAGTTACTGTCCCTGGAGACATGTACAAGGAAATATAACCCCGGCCAAGAGAGATGCCTTTGTAGCAAGTATAAGAATGAATCATATAAAGAATTTCAGTCTAATAAATGGATACTATTCCAAAGTTCATTTGTAAGTCAATAGTTTGGAACTTGGAACACATCTTCCCATAAAAGAAATGTTCTCCATGGTAGATAGTGTCCTCCCAACCCACACGAGTCTGTTTAACTCGTTCTGTACCTGAGGCAGAATTTATATTAATTTTGGAGAACAATGTTTCCATGGAAACCAATGTTCTGAGTTGTGCTGTTTAAGGTTGAGAAGCACTGACTATAAAATTTTAATTAGTCTCCTAAAATACTTCCTCCTTACTCCTTTAATAAATTACCGAGAAGAGTAGCTACTCATACCACAAATTATTTCTTGAATACATTACATTAAAATAACATTTGTTTTCTCTGCTTGTTTTATGTACTTTGTAACTTTAGCAAAAGAGGATCTGTGTAACAAGGATAAGGTTTCTTTAAACATTCTTGACCTGTTCCCAACTTGGCTGCTTGTCATATTTTTTTTCCTGGCTGGCTCTCTCTGCGTACCAGTACCAAATCAGTAAGCTACAGAACAAGCCATCAGTCCCTGTCCTGTATTTGCTTCTATATCAAACTTGCAGGTTTGTGTTTTCTACCTTACCTTTCCTTTGCCCTTAAGTTTTAAAACTTGCCTTCTAAATTACTAGAAATCTATAATAATTTAGTAGCGAAAGTTCTCCTAGGTCACTCTGACCACACTAATCAGAAACGTTTTAACTACACAATACACAGATTATGCTGAAAGTTGTATAAATATATCAGGGTCCCAGGGCTGACAAGAGCCTTAAAAGATTGCGTAGTCTGTTCCCTGGACTTCAGACAAGTCAAACCATTCCAAACAAATGAGACATGAACCTGGATGTTGGAAGAACATGATGAGTGTGTCTTTAACCTTCCCTGGATATAACAGTCTGTATATAATTAGTAAGGAGTCCTGGTGTGGCGCTGTGGGTTAATGCATCAGACTGTAAAGTCGGTTTGAACTGCAAGGTTCGTGGTTCAAGTTGACCAGCCGCTACTCAGAAACCCTATACAGGGCCGCTATGGGCCGGAACCGACTTGATGGCACTTAAAAACAACAACACTATTAGTAAAGGGTTTACCATTAATTAGTAAAGTTTAATAACTTAAGCTTTTAATTTATAGGCAATTTCTTGTAGTTAAAGGGATTAACCAACATTATCGTATTAGCTATTCTATCAGGTAAAGGAATGAAAGAGAACCTACCCTAATAAGCAAGGTTATTCTTAAAGGGACCCTGGTAGCATAGTGGATTATGAAGAGGGCTGCTAATTGAAAGGTCGGGAGTTCGAATCTACCAGTCTCTCTGAGGAAGAAAGATGAGCCTTTCTACTCCTATAAAGATTTACAGCCAAGGCAATGCTATCTAGGTCACTGTGAGTCAGAACCGACTCGGTGGCACACAACCACCACTACCAACCACACCAATAGTAAATGATTCTTTATTTTTAATCTAAATCTTTCTAGTTACTGTTAGAATTTTATTTTACTTGCTCACAGGAAATAAGTAGGTTTATCTGTGTAAAATCTTATGGCATATTTATATGCTCTTAAGTTTTGTAAGGATGTTGTTTTGTTCTGTTGTACAAAGGCTCGTTATGAGTCGGAACAGACTCGACGGCACCTAATAAAACATATTTTGTGAAGCTTGTATCTTGCAGAATCAGTTTCAGTGAAGCTTCCAGACGAAGGCTGTCTAGGAAGAAGGACTTGGAGAAAAATCAACCAATGAAAAACTTATGGATCACAATGATCCGACACATAATGAATCACGGGGAGGGTGCAGGGCTGGGCCATGGTTTATTCCATTGCATCTGGGGTCACCATGAGTCAGTGGCCATCTTGAAGGCCGCTAACAACAACAACAACAACAACAACAATAACCACAATACATTTTGTGTTCTCATTTTACGACATGCCTGCACAGCTCAGTGTCTTATCTTTTCATTATGTTTGTCTTGCTCTCTCTGTTTTCTGTATCCCTCTTCAGTGATGGGAAATAATATCTCATTACTGTGTTTTATGAGGCAGCTAAGAACTGAGAGAATATTTAAGCATGATCCTAAGACTTGCACTCAAAGGAAAACACAATTAAATTATTATAATAAAACTCTAATAACATAAGCTTTTAATTTATAGGCAATTTTTTGTAGTTAAAGGGCTTAGCCAACATTATCCTATTAGCTATTCTATCAGGTAAAGGAATCAGAGAGAATGTATCCTAATGAGCAAGGTTATTCTTAAAGCGTGCTATCCCTGAATATCACTGTGATGGGCTGGGTTGTCTTCCAGACAAATCTGTAGAAGTCCTACTCCCCGTATCTGTGAATGTGGCCTGGTTATCGTGCTGGAGAATAAGGGTTCTTACCCAAGAGGAGAGGATGGACACTAGGGGAATATGGTCATGTGACAGTGGAGGCCAGCTGCAGCTGCAAAGCAAGGAGCACTCAGGGCCACCAGAAGATGGTGACATCTAAGCTCTTTCCCTAGAATCCTCCGCGAGATCATGGTCCTTCTGACACCTGAATTTGAACTTCTGGCCTCCAGACCAGTGAGAGAATGGATTTCTATTGTTTGAAGAATGCACTCACTTCATGGTGCTTTGTTACAAATACTTACGGAAAAAAATGACCCCTGAATATAGTTTTTGTCTAAGGGACTGCTAACCATAAGGTCAACAGTTCAAACCCACCAGCCACTCCTTAGAAGCCCTTTACAGGGTTGCTAAGACTTGGAACTGGACACAAAAAAATGAGTGATAAACCTGGAAATGTGTTTCTGCTGTTTGTTATTGTTGTTAAGTGCCATTCAGTTGGTCCCGACCCATAGCGACCCTGTAGAGGATTTCCGAGGAGTGGCTGGCGAGTTTGAACTGCCAACCTTGAGGTTCAAACTGACTTTGCAGTCCAGCGCATTAACACACAATGCCACACCAGGACCCTTCTGATTTGTAAGGACTATTTCATCTTGGTACTCAGAGACTCATGAAAGTTTTCCGATAAATAGGCATTTTGGTCTTTCCCCTAAAAGCCATTATATTTATTGGCTTTATTACAAGTACTGTTGGCTATGATACTATTCTAAAGCAGTTCCAATGATCTCCAAGGTGTGAATTAGTATCAGAATTCTATTTGCTTATGAGATTTTACATTCCTCAAAAGTCAGGATTATGTCTCCAAAAGAAACGGACAAAACTGAAAATTTTTATCCCCAAAACTCCTGCCGGATGTACCACCACTCACGGTGCTGAGCATCTAAGGGGGCGGGGGGATGGGGGAGCAACTCTTTTAGGACCAGGCTGATAAACTCAACCCTGTCAACTGGCCATGAGAATACTTGTTGTTGTTAAAGACCACTGAATCCACTGTTAAATGCCGACCCATAGCGACCCTGTGTAGGGTTTTCAAGGAGCGGCTGGTGAACTTAAACACTGAGGTTCAAACTGAGGCATAATGGATTTACATTAGCCAAGCACCTAAGTGAGACTGTTTATTCTACCCCAGTCCAGGGTTGCAAAGGAACCTGTACTGATGGTGCAGGGGGTGAAATGTCTAGTTGTTAATTGAAATTATGTCTCCAAAAGAAATGGACAAAACTGAAAATTTTTGTAGGCCACTCTGTAGGCCAAAGAGGGGCAATCTGGTTCTATAAAGAGTCACACCCTCAGAAACCCTAAGGGGCAGTTCTACTTTGTCCTGTTGTTATTAAGTGCCTTTGAGTTTCTGTCTCAGAGGGTTGTTATGCATTAAAATCAACTCGAAAGCAGTGGGTTTACAGGGTTAGCAAGTAGAATGAGTCTTCTACTTTGTTGGGAGAAAGTAACATCTGTGCTTAGCTGCTAACCCAAAGGTTGGAGGTGTGAGTTCACCAAGAGGTCCCTCGGAACAAAGGCTTGGTGATCTACTTCTGAAAAAAATCAGTCCTGGAAAGTCCTATGGAGCACAACTCTACTGTGGCCCCGTGGGGTCACATATCAGAACAGACTCAACAACAGCTACTGGTTTACTGGTTTCACTCTTCCACCAGCATGCTGCCACTGAATACCTAAAATGTGGTTTTAGTTACCATGACAGAAAGTTCATTTCCTTAGCAGCCCATCGTATTCCTGGTCAAAAGAAGCTTTTCACTATACTACAACCAATATCTTCTGTTCAAATCCATAAGCCGCCCCATGAGAGAAAGAGGAGCTTTCTGCTCCCGTGAAGATTTACAGCCTAAGAAGCACTATACAGGGTCGCTATGAGTCAGAACTGACTCCACTGCACACAAACACCACCACCATAACCTTGAAGATTTATGGCTTTCGTGAAAAAACGAAGGGGAAATGCAGTAAAAGAAAAGTTTTCTCACTTTTGCTGTCAGGATGTCAGCATTATTCATAGCTCAGTGGTGTAACTACTTACTTATGCACTGCTAATTTTAGCTAAACAGACAATGACAAGTCTGTACTGTCCTCAATTAGTATTAATAAAAGTCTCCCTCCAGGGAAACTTCCTAGTTTAAAAAAGCGTTCCTGCAGAACCCTTAATTTCAATTTCCTTCCATTCTCTGGCAATAGTACGGCATGAAATCGTAACACTGGTCTTCATTTGCAAGAGTTTTAAGGATGTCCTGTAAATCCCCACTAGTTACACAGGGGAACCAAAAACAGACAGAATTTGACAATGGGCAAAGGCAACTTACTTGTTCATTTTTAGTGAGCCTGGTTTTGTTGTGAATGTCTGAAGTGACCAAATTGAATCCATGCTTCTCTGATAAGATTCTCAGAAGCAAGACCACAGTCCGACTCCCACACTTGCCCACTCTGTTGTAGACCACCTGGCTCGGGAAAGGTAGTACCTGGGTAAAGAATGAGACAGCACATTTGACACTTCTGCCCTCAATTTCAGAACAATGAACGTTTGATAAATCGGAATAAGAAGCAACAAATCCAATGAGACAACAGAAGTGATGAACTATTTATCTTCATAATATAACTGAGGAGAACAGGTGGTGTTGTCAACCGTTCATCTTCACTGTACCAATGAAGCCCATAAATTTGATTATGAAATGTCTTTTTAAAAACATAAATATAGGCTTTAATGCTAATGATGGTTGCAAGTTATATTATGCATTATCAGCATAACTTAATTTGTATAATGATCAAGCAAAACTTTAATTTTAAAAGTTGAGATGTAATTCACATTCCATAAAATTCACCCTCTTAAAGTATGCAATTCAATCGTTTTTGATATACAAGTAGTCCCCAACTTAATGATGTATTCGAGTTACGACAAACCACACTTAACAACTTACTGTCCTTTATTTTTTGTACATCTTATCCTTAGTAACAACTACTACATACGGTATTACAGGTGCGATAAGCACTGGACTGTGAACCCCAAAATTGGCAGTTCAAACCTACCACGCACTCCTCAGAAACCCTATAGTGTACAAACCTACCAAACACTCCTCAGAAACCCTGTACAGTGTACAGGGTCTCTATGTACCACAACCGACTCGATGGCAATCATATCTATACGTTTATATTCAATGTTTCCATGCCCCCCAAAAATAAAGACAAGGCTTTAAAAAATACTGACATTAATGGTAATAAAATGAAAACTAAAAAAAAAAAAAATTTCTTCCCCCCAAAAAGAGGTATTCAATTCACATCACAACTGAGCTACAACAAAGCCATCAGAATAAAACTCCATCGTTAAGTGAGGGACAACCTGGAGTCACAAAGTTGTGCAACTATCACCAAGATGTATTTCTAGGGCATTTCCAAAAGAAAGTCCACGCCCATTCCAACAGTCGCTCCCGATGCTACTCCGGGAACCCCCGAATCTACTTCCTGTCGCTATAGGATTCTGGACACGGCATCTCAATGGAACCGTACAATATATGGTTTTTTGTGTCCAGTTCTTTTGCTTAGCATGTTGTTCACGGTTTCTCCATGTTTTAGCATGGCAGTCTCCATATGGCTGAATAGTATTCCAGTGTAGGGCTATACCATACTTCGTTTACTCATCCATCAGTTGGCAGGCATTTAGATTATCCACACACTGACGACTATGAGCAATACTGCAATAAACATTTGTTAACATGTTTTTATCTGCACGTGTTTCCAATTATCTTAAGTATATACCTAGTAATGGAATTGCTGTTTCATTTGATAACTATATATTTTATTCTTTTGAGAATCTGCCAAATAATTTTTAAAGCAGTTTAGCTCTACCTAATGGAGGACTCCGGTATGGTGCTGTGGATCAGCACTGGACTGCAAACCACAAGGTCGGTGGTTCAAATCTCCCAGTTGCTTCTTGGAAACCCTATAAAGGATCGCTATGAGTCACTCGATTATACTTGACAACAGCAATCTAAAGGGGCTCTGGTGGCATAGTGGGTTATTTGTTGGGCTGTTAATCGCTGCTCCAGCATCTACTCTAGGGGAGAGAGATTCTGCTCCCATAAACATTTATAGCCTTGAAACTCTATACAGGGTCCTTATGAGTCGGATCTGACTCATACACAACAACTACCACTATCTTTTTGTTTCCCATTAACAATGTAGGAGGGTTCTAGCCCTAGCCAACATTTTGTGATTGTTTATCGTTATAACTGCAGTCCTCCTACAGCGTGTGAAACAGTATCTCATTGTATCAATTCCTAGGTTTTTACTGCATTTCCCTAATGACTAGTCCTAAAGGAGCTCTGGTAGCGTAGTGGTTATGATTCAGGCTGTGAACCTCAAGGTCCGCAGTTTGAAACTACCAGCTGTTCCGTGGGAGAAAGATGAAGTTTTCTGCTCCCGTAAAGATTTACAGCCATTGGTTGTTGTTGTTTAACACTAATTAGCAATATTTGGGGGCTTCATGAGAAAATGGACTGAAAAGATGATGAAATTTTTCCACAACTTTTTTGAAGGGACCCCCCCACCACCCCCTGTATGATTCTGTTAAAATGGGAGACCAGGAGAACCTTCCTGTGGAGCTGATCTTTAGGACCAGATGTTAATAAACAGTCATCCTTGTAAGAAGACAGTCATAAAATGTCCCTTTTACATAGGGTACCCCAAAAGCCTATTCTCGGGCAACTACTGCAGAACTTCAGGTAGTCAGATTAATCAGTTATGGTTTCAGTTCTGAAGCTATGACCCTGGTAGCTGAACATGGCTTGATGTGATGGAAACATGTTGACAGTGTTTGTAGTTGGGTGTCCCATGATGATTAGGCTGAGTACTGACCGCTGTTCTGACAAAGCTGCACCACAAACCCAAAGTTTAATTCCTCCAGAGAAATAAACTGCTCAACACTTGGGGTGAGAACATTTTTTCTCTTGTCTTCTAGCTTGGCACTAAATAGTAAGGAGAATTAATGAGTCCTGGTGTGGCGCTGTGGGCTAATGTGTCAGACTGCAAAGTCATTTGAACTGCAAGGTTGGTGGTTCAAGCTCACCAGCTGCTCCTTGGAAACCCTATACAGGTCGCTATGGGTCACAATTGATTTGACGGCACTTAACAACATGTATTTTATTCCACGATTGCAGGTATATCTTCGAGATTTAAATGAAAAACAAAGGCACTTATCTAGAAGGCTAGCTTCGAGATTTAAATGAAAAACAAAGGCACTTATCTAGAAGGCTAGCTGAAAGATCAATATCTCACCTGGATTGCTGGAGTAACAGACACGTAGCAAGCACAGTACCTCCCCCCCCGCTTTTTTTTTGTCATTAACCCAAGCCATTATTTATTTATCTTTTGGGTTCCTGATTATTTTTAAGATGATGGTAATTTCAAATAGTTCCTTAGTCTTGTAGAAAGCTTGCAAATAATGGTTGTTGGGTGACTAGTCAGTTTCTACTCATAGAGACCTTATGTACCGCAGAGTGGTTAGTTTGCAAATTTGAATAACAGTTATATTAACTGGTCTTCCTTGTAGGTGTATGGATGTTAAATGTCACAGATGGCTAATATCAAGATAGATCTTGGGATGATTTTGTTCATGATGAATGCGTCACCATTCCTCTTCAATTTGTCACTCCCAGCATAGTAAACCATAAGGCTTCCAGATTCAAAATGACCAGTTCCACTCCATTTCAGCTCACTAGAGTCTAAGATATCGATCTTTATTCATCCCATTTCATTTTTGATAATTTCCAATTTTCCTAGATTCACACTTTGTTACATTCCATGTTTACATTATAAATTGCTATTTACAGCTGTTTCTCCTCATTTTGAGTTGTGCCCCTTCAGCAAATCAAGATCCTGAAATTTTTACTCCATTTGTACCATCACAGTTAACAACAACAACAACAACCTCCTCAAAGGAGAGTTAAGTGCTGGAGAGTTGGTTCCGACCAATAGCATCTCTGTATAGGGTTTACAAGGAGCAGCTGGTGAGCTTGAACTGCCAACCTTGCAGTTCAAACCTCTTTGCAGTCTGACGCATTAACCCACAGCGCCACGCCGGGACTCCATTGAGGAGGTAGCTCTTCTCAAAACGTATTTTGAGTGCTTACCAACTTGAGGTAGCTATCTGCCACTATACCTGACAGTATCAAGTGTGCTCATAGGGTTTTGATCATCGATATTCTGATGTAGTCTGACAGTGTCCCACTGCTAATCATAAGGGCTTCAGTGACTAAATATTTGGAACAGTCCGTCTCTCCTTCTTCCTCATCTGTCTCAGTCTGAAAGCTCAGCAGAAATCTGTCCACCATGGGTGACCCTGCTGTTATTTAAGATGCCAGTGACATAGCTTCTGGAGTCCTGGTGTGGTACTGCGGGATAAAGCACTGGACTGCAAGGTCAGTTTGAACCACAAGGTCAGTGGTTCTAATTCACCAGCCACTCCTTGGAAAGCCTATACTGGGTTGCTATGCATCTGAACCAATTTGAGGGCACTGAACAACAATACAACATAGCATTTAGCATCACAGCAACACAAAACCACTGCAGTACAACAAACTGACCAACGAGTGGTGAAAATAATGGTTATAAATATGCTATTTAAAACAAACACATCTAAGAACAAAATACCTTTATTGTTCCTGCAATTGTGCCTAAAGAATACTGAGCAAGAAGAAATGAGAGCATAACATTCCACTGACTCCATCCCTCCCATTTCTCAATGCCAACACACAGCTAGCTGCCTGGTACAAACAAAGAACTAGATCATGCATTTTCACAAGAAACTTCTAGAATCCGTCTTGTGACTATTAAAAAACACATCATGCACCCTCACAAACATAACCCTATTTCAAATTTCGAATGGGGGCTTTTCAAGTATTTTCTAAGAGAACCTACATAATGCACTGAAAATTGTCAAATTAGGCAAGGCTGAATCAATTTGTTGCTCTTGGATAAGGTATTAAAGTTGACAACAACAGCAAAAACATCTCAGTCCCTCCCTGCCTTGGTTTTGAAGCAGATTTGTTTTTTAAGATTAATGTGAAAAAATGCTGCCATCTTTTATTCAGAGCGTCCTTCCTGCTAAGAAGGTGAAAGAGAGACTGATTTCTATGGAATGCTGATGCATCCTAGGCACTGTGCCACAGAAAGTCTCTCCATCTTGGTTAACAGCCCTGATCCACATAGAATGATGATAGTCTTTTATTCAATCTGTGCATTTCTCAAAGAGTAAAATGATCAGATAGTTTAGGACTGATTACTGGAGCCCTGTTGTGGCGCTGTGGGCTAATGCGTCAGACTGCAAAGTCGTTTGAACTGCAAGGTTGTTACGTGCCGCTGGTGAGCTCTGAGTGTGGTGGTGCAAGCTCCCCAGCTGCTCCTTGGAAACCCTACACAGGGTCGCTATGGGTCGGAACCAACTTGACGGCACTTCACAACAACAAAA